GCTGTTTTCGGCATTCGGGAATCCAAGACTTCGACTTTGTGCCTTGCCACTGTGTCTGCGTCCGATCCTCAGTCCGAGTCCGTCGTGTCGAGTGAGTGAGTGTGTGTGTGTGCTCTCACTCTCCCCCTCTCTCTCCTCTCCCTCGGCTCACCCTCAGCCTCACGCTCGTTACACCGACTCTCGGTTCATTTCAGGCAAGCGATATATAGACGACCTGCTGTTGTTCTTGTTTTTCCAGAATGATGATCCCATTGGTGAGCAGAGGGCAGAAGAATGCCTGGATAAGATTATCGGTTGCTACCCCGATGGATTTGTGCTTGAATGTACGGACTCCGGTAAGGGGGTCCTTGATATCTAGGAGAACAGGCTAGTGGTTGTGAACTCATCCACAGCCATACTTTTGTCGCACAAATCCAAGGATGCTGGGACAATCTGGTCCCCGGATCAGCTGCGTTTCAGAACGTACATGATTTTGCATCGTATGGACCATGGGCAGGTACCTATGTGAGGTCGTAGCAGCAGGGCTAAAATGGATGCAGCGGCGGGAGGAAAATCCCCTCTGGGGGGGGCTGCTTGACCTGGTAAAGTTACTCTACAGCAAGAACCAGGACGAAAGCTGAATTTCACGCGCCCACGGTGCCTGCCGAATCTCCTACTGCAGTGGGTGAGTGCGCTGGACACTTCAATTTTGGACTGCGTATCGGAAATGACAAGTGCGGATACAGAGGGTACTTACCTGTGCAAGGAAGCTATCCGCCAGAATGATAAAAAAGTTCACTTGTCATAGTACAAATGTTTCTTGGTGAAGGCGGGATGTGGGCTTCCACCCAAGAGCACTCAGGTCAGTATGGACCAAAGCAGTGGAAAGGTGCACGGGGACTTGTTTCTTCACCCGGTACAAGGCTGAAAAGGCACGCAGTGTTGGCCCGTCTGGGAGTGTTATGCGTTCGAGACGGAACGCTGATTGAGAGTTGTATGACGGGAAACTGCAACGTACGGTTCGAAGGGCAGAGACTCATCTGTGACTCCTACCCATTTTAGGTTTTGCTTTAACTGAAGCTATTGCTTTATTCGCCTTAATGATGGCTTTCTTAATTTTATGGCCAGCCACGACACTACCAAATGAACTGCTCCTTTGCACTGTTTGTTTGTTCTCTCAGGCGCGATAGCGAAGGAGGCGCTGCAGTAGTCTGCAGCGATCCAACCGCGTGGTTGGAGACATCCAAATTGACGAACTCAAGATGGGGACCACCGCCTGTCATGAAAGGGGGTCACTGGGAAGGACCAACCCTTGGTCAACCCCCAACCATGTCTATGAGATGCAGTTGAACGGGTTCGTGAACGTGAGGTGCGGGTAGGATTAGGAACTAGACGCGTTCGGTCAGGAAAGAGACAGCGTTTTCCTATTTATTACCAGGGCTCGAAGAGCGGGAACCAGGCCACGAAGTGGCAACAGCACCTGAAACGCAATCTGCGTTCTCGTCCAACCTGACAGTTGGAATCCCATTTCGGGATGAGAGCATTTGGTGGAACCAGTGAAACATTCAGGTCGAAATGGGACAGAGGGCTCATAATACTACCTAAGTGAATCAGCAGACGGGAAGGAACCTAAATCGACGGACTTGAGTCCGTCTCACACTCAAGGCCAGCGAACGAAGTGGGTGCTCGAACTCCGAAACTGCTTGCTGGAGGCAGCACCCGCATTTGTACTCGAGCAGATGCGAACTAGTATAAAGTAGTGTAGAAACGTAGAGGAACTTGCCTCAATCTAAGTGGCGTGATGAGTGGAAGGGTTGAGTTCCCTTAGTGGTGTGCAAACTAAGGGAGTGGAGTGGGAGATAATGGCGCCATGATATTAACGCTCATGTCAATAATCTTTTCTCTCATCGTCTATCACATCGGCAGGTCCTGGCTGGTACATTTTTGGTAGCTGATGACTTAATTTGACATATGGCTAAACTTCTTTCTGTAAAGAAAAACGTGTCAGCGTGATCCAA